TTCCAGGGGCGGCGAAGCTGCGCCGCGGGGCCGAGGAATGCGGATGCCTTGGCCTCGATCCGCAGCTTCCTGGGCCGGCCCCGTGTCACCCGTCTGCTTCCCCCCTAAGTCTAGCAAGACGTGGAGGGGTACATATTCCTCATCCCTGCTGTAACCATTATACCACCATTATTGCACCAGATGACATTAATTTATAGTATTTATTTTAAAGATTTCTATAATACTTTTCTATCTGTGAGGAAAGAGTTAAGCCCATCCTACGCATTATCAAGACCACATGAGCTCTCCTGCAATCCTGTCTCTCATCAACAAAATACATGACATGGCACCATCACATATTCCCCCTTCCCAAACTTGCAAGAGTTACTTTTTTAACTATAGCTCTCAGAATCTCATACCCTACATGGCCATTTATAGACCATAAAAAGTAACGTTTCCAAGCTCTGTGCTCACCACACTCTAGTTCATTGGCTGTTGTTTGCTAGTAGGTGTGCATGTAGGAAGACCAAGACAATTACAGTATAATATGTCACACACTTTTCCACGTTACAGTAGAGACTGATGTAAGGAGAAGATAGCAAAAGCAGCTTAATTTATATACCGCTTCATACCACACTATGCAGTCTCTAAGCAGTTTACAACTGTAAGCTAATTGCCCCCAACAAGCTAGGTACTCATTTTAGCGAGTTCAGAAGGATGCTGGCCTGAGTTGAGCCTGAGCCTCTGGCTGGGATTGAACTCACAACCTTGTGGTTTTTGAGTGAGTGGCTGCAGTACAGGCATTTAACCACTGCACTACCAGGGCTTCTGGTGGACCAAAGACTTACATCTATGTATCTTCCTGAAAATCTCAACAGCACAGCGCATAGTTTAGACCAGTGGTTCTTACCCTATGGTCCATGGACCCTTAGGGGGCTGTAAGGTCTTAACAGGGGATCTGTGAAGATTTGAAGGCTGCTAAGCCAAGGCAAAGGTTTACTGGCTGGGTGGACATGCATGTTGCTTTTCAGTCCACTCCAGCCACAAAATGGTGGGAAGAATCAGGAGGAAAGTCTTCCCTCCCTCTCTGGTGCATCTGAGGAAAAGTTTAACAGATGGTGTAATTGTTAATGATTCACTGTACTACCACTAGCAATAGCAATAGCAAGTACGGTACATTTCTGTA